TCTTCCAGAAGCGGGGCTGCAGGATCTCCGATCGAGCTTTTGTTTGGATCTGTCGAAAACGTCTCTCCGGGACCACGTGTGTGTGTCGCGCACACGTATTCCGATGTTGCCCTCTCGTCGGTACGTGCGGCTGCCTCTGCCGCTGCTGCTGCTGCTGCTGCTGCCGCTGCTGCTGCTGCGTCCTCCGCTGTGGGCAATTTGCGGCGGATCCGGCTTGTACGACCTACGATCAGTGGGACGTCGCCGCAATGGATCCAAACCGACTTCAACAAGCTCTCACCTCTACCAGCCCCTTCACTGCTACCTCTTATGTTTCCCTTCTCCAAGATATCTCTCCACGCTTCTCCACGCGGATTTTCCTCTCTCGGTGCCCTAACTCTTCTTCCTCGGAAACCTTCCAGGCCGACTTTTTCGCACAATCTCCGATCAACTCTAATGGATCTTCCGCAACGCAAGCACGTCGACGGGACAGGCACCACTCTGTGTGTGTCTGTGCACACGTGCCACCACCGCACTCCGGTCGATGCTGTCTACCCCCTCGGTGTTTGCCATCGGGATTGGGTTTTCGTCCCTTGGCAACGACGATGTAATAAAACCAATTCACCTCTCGGTGAAGGCCACCCTGACTCTCGAAATCATGTGTTCGAGTCCGTGTGGAGGTAAGTGTCTTTTTTTCCAAGACATTGTTTTTGACAAAAGGTATGTTGTTGTTGTTGTTGTTGTTGTTGTTGTTGTTGTTGTCTTCGCATTAAAAACCGTTCCGATCTCTCTCTACCCAGTTCCTTCGTATGTCCGTACTGATCCAACACTCGACGCGGTCGATTCCCGTGGTCGCAGGCTCACTTACCCTAAAAAGGTACACTCAAATAAAATGGCCCCGAGCGGTCCGCAAATGTTGTTGTTGTTGTTGTTGTTGTTGTTGTTGTTGTTGTTGTCTTCACATTAAAAACCGTTCCGATCTCTCTCTACCCAGTACCTTCGTATGTCCGTACTGATCCAACACTCGACGCGGNCATATATTCTGGAGCCCTCCACTCCCTCTGCGCGCTATGCGAGGTAACAACGGAGACTAGGAGTCACCATCACGGGCCGGAGAGAATGAGGTACACCCCCTTGGTTCAATCTTGGTACTTCACAACGCAAGCAGAGACAAGGCCATCTGGCACAGAAAAAGAGAGAAAAAGAGAGAAAAAGAGAAGAAAATAAAAGGAAACAGTAAGGAAAGAGAAAATGAAAAATAAAGCGCGAGGACAAAAAGGGACCAGGCCGAAAATACCAAGAAATAAGAGGCAGAAAAAGGCACACACACGGTGGAGAGACCACTAACGACAAGCAAACACGCAAACATGGCCACCAACCAGCGATACATTATTATTATTTATTGATTATTATTTTGTTTGCCCTCCGACAATTGTAGATAAATGCAGACATACATAAAAAGTCGACCGTAAAGGCCGTCATGCCAAGCCAAATTAACTCGATGCCCAATAGCTAGGAATGTTTGCCTCTAAGTCAACAAGACTTTGGTTGAAACCATACAACAGCTGAACTCTAGGCACGAACCTTAGATGGAGAAAAACGAACAAAACCCCAACCTCACCCACCCGAAATCAAACAAATCTCGGCCCCGTCTTCCCTGGTACCCCTGACACCGTATCGAACAGAAATCCGCTTTCCACCGAAGTGGTTAGGTTAAAGCTGTCGCAC